GTATCGGTTGGCTATATTGAACACGTCACTCGGAGGGATGGTCCGTTATTTAATCGCCAATGGGATCGTTACGGTGTGACGACGACGGTCGTCTCGGGTGGCGGCGACGGTGTCTTGTTAGTATACGTGTTTTTATAAAGTAAAAGTTTTTATTGCTGCGATATGCCTGCGATATGTTTATTATTTGTTTAAGAGGCCGTGCCGGATCCCCGATAACGAATTACGAACGCATAGTTTTCGGTTCGGGTGTACGATGCGGGTGATTCCGACTAGATTCTTTTGTTGGCGTCGCGTGCACGACTTTGACTTTCGTTCTAAGCAACAGTTGCTATTAGTCTGTTTGTTTCTTTCCTAGAAATAGCTCAAATAAAAAGGAGTGATACTTTTGTGATCAAATAGATAGGTATATATAAACATATATGTTAAATATATATGTTTTTATTGAATATGATCTATATATAACAAATGCTGTTATGATATATCTATTTTATCGAAATTCTCTTTTTAATCTAATTTATCTGATTATCTTTAGTTTATCTGATTCATTATAAATTCATAATTATTTCAAATATATACAAAAAATAATAGCACACACAGTAACTTTTTCCGTTTTTTTTTTGTTAGCAAATAAAATAGTCTACGAAGAGCGGCAACGCGTCATATTTCCATCTAAAATTTTCGATCAAATCGCACTATAAAGGTCTTTGCCTTTACAACATGGAGCTCCCACTTTCTATCGGAAAAGGAAAGTCGCGAATAAATTCACGTATCTCCTTTAATCGCGGAATGAAAGTTACAGCTCGCTTCTCTCGCTCGCAGATTGTGAATTAACAAAATATGAGAGAAATGGTAAAAAAAGAATTCGAATGGACATAAATGGATGGTGCCTGAAAAGGGAGAAAAAAGCATAATAAATCTCGCAGTTAGCAATAAATTATCGTAAAGAATACTTTCGCGTTTCGCGTTTCGGAACACGGCGGAAAAATAATGATTTCTGATAATGTCGGAGAAATTCTAATTTCAGAAATGGCCGTAAACTCGTCGTCATGGCTGAATCAATGTTTTGTGGAGAAGATCCTGCGAAAGTCAGAAAGCGACGATTCGATTCAGGTGATCGATATATTCTCTAATCCAGGCTCGAACAAAGGTGACAACTATCTCTGCGATATCATCAGAATTACTACAGAATTTTCGCGTGAACAAGGCGGCCGTAAGATTATGGAAAAGAAATCAATAATCGTTAAAGTTTCGCCTACATCCGAAAGTATTCGATATAATGTTGTAAGTTGATTTAACTTATACAATGTCTCTAAAAAGAAAAGAAAAAGGAGAGAGAGAGCATGAAAGAGAGAAAAAATAAAAGTGCAGCAAGTTTCATTATTTTGGTAATAACTTTTTACTTAACAAACAGATTAGCATAAGTATTTGTAAGTAATCAGAAATTAAAGATAATTATCTCTATAAATCAAGTTTAAAGAAGCAAATTTATTTCGAGAAAACATTCTTCAGTCGTTTCAAGACGAATTTTAATTGTGGATAAAATTATTATTTATTTGACATCCAGTAAGCCAAAACTTGCTGTCGTACAAACTTTCTATTTGTTCTACACATAAATCTTCATATCATAATAAAATGAACTTGTTACAGGTCATTCAATCAGGTTTATTTGATAACGAGGCATCGATGATGTTAGATACCTTGGATAAAATGAATAAGTTGTTAGGGCCAAAGCACCGTTTAAGTGGGAAAGGTTTATACATGCAAAATGAAATTCCAATACTTCTGGCAATCGAGGATCTCGGGCCTCTCGGCTTTCGTATGGCCGATTGTGTGTCTGGTCTCGACTTAGCTCATTCCATAGTGGCGCTTCGCGGACTAGCCAGGTTTCATGCAGCCTCTGTAGCCGTATGCGAAAAGGTAACTCATCTCGTTTCAATTGTATTGTCTTATTGCAATAATTCAAAATTTAGGTCTATGACACAAATCTAAAAAATAAATAAAAATATTTTAATATTTTAGGAGCCAAAGCAAAAGAAGATGTATACAAAAGGAATATTTAACAACCAGAATTCATCAGAAGTGAAAGATTTTTTCATTAAGGGTACTAAAGCTTTATCAGAGGAGATTGTAAACTGGCCGGAAGTAAAAAAGTAAGTTTTGTATATAATATAGTATAAACGACATTTCTTGTTCTGTTCTGTCTAAAACAACATTTTATATAACACGAGACATATTTAACGTAAAAAAATTAAACATATTAAAAACAGAAAATAGTAAATATAAATACAAATTGCCTTATTTAAAGTAAATATTTATATAATTATTATCTATATACAAATTTATGTTTATGTGATTTTTATTGGTAGATACTCGGAAAAAATTTCTAAACTCTCCGATCATATATTTCAAATAGGAGTAGATGTAGCCAAGCTCTCTGAGGATGAGTTTAATGTTATTAATCACGGCGATCCTCACATGAAAAATATGTTATTTAAATATGACAATGACGGTAATCCTACTGATCACATGTTTGTAAGTACGTTATAAAGTCACATATCAGTCATCACATTAAAAAAAAAATCATACATCTTGTAAATACTTACAATTTAATCCTATAAATACGTATTCATTGATTTATTATAATTGCAGGTTCATATTTCAATTAATAACAATTAAAATTAAATAAAATAATTCGTAAAATCTAATAAATTTTAATATTTACGTGTGATTTGATTTACTTGATTTATATAATGCTAAAAAGTTACTTATTTATATATTATTTTCACAAAAAATTATTACTAAAAATATGCTTGTATTATATATAAATAATTGAACAAAACACATTACCAAATATACATGTATAAATCATGGTGAGAGTATTCAGAAAATATACCACTGATATTCACTGTTCAATACACCATGGAAAGACTTCAGGGATTTTAGAGGGATTTTTAGTGCAGATTCTCTTAATTATTCCACATATCCTAAGTTTGCTCTCCAGAGACGTGGGGTCGCTTTTGAAGGTCTTTCTCCTCTCCAAAAATATAGATTATTTATAAAACAATGTCTAACAACGTATAAATACCTTCAGAAATTTTTAAATATTTTTTTGTGGTATCGTCACATGCTTAACATTTCAATAATGTTATAAATGAATAAGGAAAATAAAGAAATGTGTAGAAATCGAGAATTTACATTATTTTATAATGTGACAGCAAATCTATATCAATATTTTTAATTATTTTAATTTCTAATTGTTTATAGAACAAAGAGCAGTACAATAGAAAATACAGAAAAACGTTTTATATTTAAATTGCAATTATTATAATAACGGAAGTACGGTAGAATTTTTTCACTTAATACATAGATTTGAATAGCATTAGTTATTTACAATTTACAATCATAATATTGAAATTATAATCATAATTATGTTATATATATAAATAAATAAATATATATATATATATACTATTTATAAAATGAACACTATAAAATGCATATCAATTTGTCATATACATACGTGGGCAAGATGAAAAGTTCTCGGCCTGACATAGTAATGGCATCGAGGGTCTCAAATAGCTATGATTTCTCTTAAGTTTAATTCTTCAGAGGCCTACTGAAAAAGTTTTAGACAAATGCGATTAGTAGTTTGCTTGTGTCGAGTAAAACATTAAATGAACGTTACTACTATTTGAATTAGAATAGAAAGATCCAATAAGAATACAAAAATATGTACTACTTAAGTTTTATTCCTTAACTTACAATTTGGTTGATAAATGCGTCGACTTGATGCTTTTTTACCATTTTTAAAAAAGATATTATAAATAATAAATTATAAATAAATTTAATTCGATTGCAATGCTTGCATTCAAGTATATTCACTATCTGTCCGTCCGTGTCGTCCCGACAAATTCTCAACTTTCTTGTTATGATTTCCTTATAAACACGCGTTCAAATTTTTTCCTGGCAGGGATTTCATTTCCAATTCACTTTTCGGAGGTTTAAGAGATTGATACATTAAACATGTTTGTTTGATATTATAGGTGGACTTCCAGTCGAGCGTCTACACATCACCGACAATCGATTTTATGTACTTTCTCAATTCAAGTATTTCCTTTGATGCTATTGAAAACAAGAAAGACGTTTTATTAAACGAATACTTTAACACCTTGTTGACGACTATGAAGCAACTGAATTGCAAGACGCAGCCGCCCACAATGGAGGAACTAAAAAATACTATGAAGCGAAAAGCCAGCTACGAAATGATATCATCCTTCACGGTTTTACCAATGATGCTGTGCCCTAAAACTGAAGCGAAAGATTTGGATGAGATCATGAATACTGGTACTTGGGTTAATCCAGGCTTAAAGAGCGAGAATTTTAAAAAAATAATGATAAAGAGAATTCAATTGTATGATGAGTGGGGTTTACTAGATCTTTAATGTATATTTGACTTTTAGTAATTAGAAATAAAAATAAAATTGTAATAGGAATCTGAAAAGAATTAAACAAGTAATAGACATTTACAGGGTGTCCGCTACTCAATGGTACAGCGCTCGGGGGCAGGTAAAATGATCCAAACTAAACAAAAAAATCCTCTCTTACAATCTTCGCAATAGTTTTTGAGACATTAACATATAAAGATTGTCGAATCTGAACGCGCGGCGAGATACGCCCGTCTGCCGCGGACCGCGGCCGCGGTAGCGCATGGCGCGTAGTGAGGGTAATTGAGTAGCGGACACCCTGTATAATCATAACAAATATATTAAAATTAATAATATTAGTGGAATATTCATGTTTTTTTAAAGAGAACACGTTGTGGCTACTATTTATGTAGGAATTATGATAATAGTATTAGCTCAATTCCAAAAATCAAAAAATTATTCTTAATTGAAATAGTTTTAATTCTTAACTGACTAAAATTTCAAAATAAATGTCCTTTATATTACAGCAATGTTTTAAATTTCTTTTATATTAAATCAATGTATTATACAGATTGTAAATAAAACGTATATATATACAGAAAGATGTTAGTTTATATTTACGCGCCCAAAAAAAATTAAAATGAAATTTTAATATAATATTATAAAGAAAATTATTTATAATATTTTAACCGTTTTACATAATATATTAATTACAAAATTGGTGTTTATTTGTACAAAATTATTAAATTTTTAATATGTTTTCTTAGGTTTTAATTTTTATACATACATTATTTATCCTTACTCAGAAAAAAGTTTCTCATGTAAGAACATTAAATACATAATACACAAAATATACTCATTAATATATTAATTTTTTTGTTATTATATCTTTTGTTTTTCTGTATCAACATTATTGTTTGGTACAGAAAAGTAATAGAAATAACTTTCGGCGCACGTTGTAATTTCATTGTGTAAAACATTTTTAATTTAAAAGATTAGTTAACTGATGTTGGCGATCCGAAATCAAAATTTCTTTGTTAGGAAATTTTATTTTTGTAACTTCGTCTGTCTTACTCAAATACTTGTGGCCTATATATCAAAAAGCAGCTTTTAATCAAGAACTATTTTCTTGCTGTAATTGTTTGAAATTATTACAGATAATGCAAGTAATATAACAACAATCTAATATTCTAAACTAAATTTCTTTTCTTAAATAATTCATCGACGATTATTCGATGATGAGACAGCTTAATAACGAATTTATTATAGTGGCACGCATAACTTGTCTATCTGTCGAGACTTTCGACTGTGCTTTGATAACGAAAGACAGGCATAATATTATATTTTGAGTTTTTTAAAGGGTGAAACATACAAAATCTGTTTATATTTATATATATACTTAATTGTCGATCAGTTTGTAAAGTGTATCAAAATAAGAACTATCAAGCATCTCTAAGCCTTTAACTGAATTCAAACCAAATTTTTGTTCTTTTATATGCAGCATCTCAGATATAAGTCTTTTATAATAATTATGTTCTGTATCAAGAACTCTTACTTAGTCCCAATTAAACGAATGTCCAAATTCAATTGTATGCTCTGTAATGACAAAATGTTTTGTCGAAACTAACTTAATATTATTTTTCTGTTCTTTGAGCCTGATGCTAAGCTGTCTTTGTTTGACCCACATAATATGCTTCACAATTATTACAAGAGATTTTATAAATTACTTTGTTACTTGCCATAATCACATTCCTATCTTTGTGAGCCTTGACGAACGTATAGATCCTGTTCAAACATCTGTATCCTATAATAGAAATCATTATTATCAATTAAAACTACTTTAACTAGCTCGTGTTTGAAAAACAAATAAAAAACTCAAACAATATATTATTAATGTAAATGTGTCTCCTGTTACCGATGCGCAATCTTAAAAGTCTCGAGTAGACAAGTCTATATCCTTTACTGTAATAATTTCGTCATTATTCTGTCGCACCATTAATTTAGCCGATAATTTTTATGAGTAATAAGGATTTTATACTACAACATTAACATCAGCTTAATAGTTACATTATTCGTTACTATCTACAGCAAATTCGAACAATTATGGCAAACAGCTCTCAGTTATAATAGCTGTTTTTCGATGTACTAGTCACTGTAAAAGATATACGATGTATACAAGAACAAGATCACTCAATGTAGAATTTGAATTTATATAACCAACAACGATCAAGCGGGCCATTCCATTAAATCGAAAATGATTTACATAGAAAGGTACAATTAATTACGCCGTTTTCTTGTATACAAATTAATATTTGCGAAAGTATTATGCGATATAAATTTACACAACGTTCATTGTTTTAGGTCTTCGGATTTTTAATTATTATTAATTAACAAAATTTAGTTCCTGTATATTTTTTTTATTAATTTATTAAATTTTTAAATTGTTTCAAAAGAGAAAGACTCTGTACAGTCTGAAACGCCTTGTGTATTTTATTTGACATTACAATTTTTTAAATATTACTATTTAGTGATTTCATGTCATATCATACTTTGTTCGTTCCTGGGTTTAGTTATTATTTTTTTCAATCTTATCAATGACGTATGTACAATTTCTGATACATCTTTTATGTACAGGCAATATAATATTATGCGTGTTTTTCGTTATCGAAGCACAGTCGACTTGAAGGTCTCGACAAATAAACAAGTTATACCTGTCACTGTAATAAAATCGTTATTAAGCTATCGCATCACCGAATAATCGCTGATTTTGTAAGTAAAGGAGTTTTAGTTTAGAATAGTAGTTTCTTTGTTATATTATTTGTATCATCTATAAAAACTTTGTACAATTACAAAAAATAGTTTTTGATTAAAAACTGATTTTAGATATATTGGTCACAAGTATCATATGGTGTTCTATGGATCTAACGACCTATTCTATCAAATTCTCCTTAATCTAGTTTGCCTGATTTATTATATATTTATAATTATTTCAAATATAGACGAAAGATAATAACAGCCACATTTTCCGATTTGTCAGCAAATAGAATAATCTCGGAGAGCGGCAACGCATTTTCCTTCTAAAATTTTCGGCCAAATCGTAAATATCGGCCATAAAGACTTTTGCCTTTATAGCATGAAGTTCCCACTCTCTTTCGGAGGAGAAAAATCGCAAACGAATTCATGTATCGCCTTTAACTGTGGAAATTATTAATATAATACAGCTCGTTTCTCTAATCTCAGTCGTTCGCGGACTGCGGATCAAAATTGGATCGACAACTCATTTGGCAATATTTTGATACGGGCGTTACTTGAAAATGCATCTTGAAGCTCGTTATTTCGATGTCGTGCTTTGTGATATTTTGTTCTTGCGAGTTAAATCAATCTCTCAAACCTTTATGTAATTAACGAATCGTGTGACTAAATTACGAATTATACGTTCTTATTAATTCGAGTCCAATTTCTTATTATAGAAATTGTCCTTGTTCAGGCTGCTAAGTCCTACTGTATACATTTATTTATTAAATATTTGTCTAATGACGAACGCATATAAAGACTGCGAAAAACATGTCTGAGAAAACTCATAAAAATAAAATATTATTGTATACTGATATTGTTCGGTCACGAGTACGTACGCGATCGTGGTATACGCCAGACGTGTCGTAAATTTAATGTACCATAAATTGATTATCTTCGACGGGAAAGCAAAACAAAATTTACGTACGACATTGGCTTGCAGAAAGGAAAAAGAAATTTCCATTATGCTCTTGATTGAAACAGAGATCTCAAAAGAATATAAATGGTACGTCTTGATGGATATAAATACCAATGGACATAAAGAAAAACGATAAATCGAAAACCGCGGTTGAAAAAAAAATGAGAAAAACTATAAAAAAAAATAAAATAGCCAAAATAAATTAGGGGTGCCAGCTGGAAAGAGAAAGAAGCGTAATAAATCTTGCAGCAAGCAATAAATTATCACAAAAATTGTTTTCGCGTTTGGAACCTGGGAAGCACCAATGATTTATCGGAGAAATTTTCCAATTTCAATTCTAATTTCAGAAATGGCTCTAAATACATCGTCATGGCTGAATCAATGCTTCGTGGAGAAGATCCTGCGAAAGTCGGAAAGCGACGATTCAATTCAAGTGATCGATATATTGTCGAAACCGGGCTCGAATAAGGGTGATAATTATCTCTGCGATATTATCAGAATTACTGCTGAATTTACGCGTGAACAAGACGGACATAAGATTATGAAAAAGAAATCAATCATCGTTAAAGTTTCGCCCACCACCAAATGTGTTCGATACAATATTGTAAGTTGATTTAAACTTGGACATTGAACTTATTCAATGTTTCTGAAAAAGAAGAAAAAGAGAGAGAAAGAAAGAGAAAAAATGAAAATGATGAAATTGCAGGAAGTTTAATTGTTATTTTGGTATAAATTTCTACTTATCGAAATGATTAGCATAAGTATTTGTGAGAAATTAAAGATAAAATTACTTTTATGAAACAAGTTTAAAGAAGCAAATATATTTCAAGAAAACATTCCTCAGTCGTTTCAAGGAAATTTTAATTGTGGATCGAATTATTATTTATTTGCCATCTGGAAGCTGAAACATGCTATCATACAAACTTTCTATTTGTTGCATAAATCTTTATAATCAAACAACCTTGTTACAGGTCACACAATCAGGTTGCTTTCGTGTTGAAATATCGATGATGTTAGATACCTTGAATAAAATGAATAAGTTATTAAGTCCAAAACACCGTTTAAATGGGAAAGTTCTATACGTGCAAAGTGAAAATCCATTACTTCTAGTGGTCGAGGATCTCGTGCCTCTCGGTTTTCATATGGCCGATCATGGATCTGGTCTCGACTTAGCTCATTCCATGCTGGTGCTTTGCGGAATAGCCAGGTTTCATGCAGCCTCTGTAGCTGTATGCGAAAAAGTAAATAATAAATATAAGTAAATAATAAATAAGTAAATAATAAATTATCACGTATCGATTGTGTTGCAATTATTAAAAATTCCGGTCAATGACACTAATCCAAAGATCAAATATTTACGATAATAAGATATGTGAAATATATTTCACTTTGATTACATAACGTTGCATAATAAACGTTGCATTGCTACATATAAACCAGATTGTTTTTGTACTATGATTCAAACAATACCTATTAAAAAAATGATATTTTGAATTTAAAAATATTTAATATTTCATAAAATAGACATTAATTAGAAATGTGACAACATCAACTTTTGCTTTAAATTTTCGTACTGAATCCGAAATTGAAAATATCACCATTCAATATAAAGCATACCCAATTCAAATTTTTTGGGATTTTTTTTAAAATTACTTTCCTAGTTTTTAAATAGCATGGGTGGTCTGGTGGTACATATACACCCTGTATATGTACGTACATATATGTATACTACGTACATATATGTACTTAGTATGTCAATTAATTATAATCAATAAATATTTTTACATTTACAAATTTATAGTTTCAAATTTATAAAATAATTAATTATTTAAATTTAATGAAATTATTTGTGTTAATTTTTTCCATTTTCGTGTAGTCTTCATCTTGAATATGACATTCGAAATTGTCAGTCTATAGTACAAACTAATTACTACTTAAATTAATACTTTTAAGTAAAAATATTTTAATACTAGGAACCAAAACAAAAAGAGATGTATACTGGAGGATTATTTAACAACAAAAATCCGTCAGAAGTGAAAGATTTTTTCAATGTAGGTACTAAAGCTTTATCGGAGGAGATTATAAATTGGCCAGAAATAAAAAAGTAAGTTTTGTATATAATCTAAACGACATTTTTTATTGTATTCTGTTAAAAAAAATACTTAATATAAATAAGACAAACGTTTAATGTTTAATGAAATAAACAAACATATTAAACAGAAAATAGCATATACAAATTGCGCTATTTATTTATGTCCATTTATACTATTATTATTTATACTATTTTTATTGTTAGATATTCGGAAAAGATTGCTAAACTCTCCGATCATGTATATCAAATAGGAATAGATGCAACCAAGCTCTCTGAGGATGAATTTAATGTTATTAATCACGGCGATTGTAACATAAAAAATGTGTTGTTTAAATATGGCAATGATGGCAATCCTATTAATCATATTTTTGTAAGTACGTTCAAATACATTTTATATGAGATCGTATGCTGGAATGTTGCATGTAAATTTTGCAATTTTTATGTAATTATATTAAATCCCCGGCGTCAACTATTGAAATCAAAATGCCTAGAATATAATATGTGATTTACTGAGATTAATTTTCCTTTCTTAAAAGTATTGCCCAAAAATTATCACTCCTATTCCTATTAAGGTATTTCAAATGTGAAATCAAATTATTTATACATTCAAATAATAGGTACGTATCACTTACATTGTTAGACATATTACCTATAATATATCACTTGGATTGAATTGGGCAATCTTGTGGTATCATAATTTAAAAAAAAAGAATTACAGTTACTACTATTTATTGGGATTAGATTAGTAAGATCCAACAGAGATACAAAGATATATGTGTATCATTTAAGTTTTATTCCTTAATTTAGTACAACAGTATGTATCTTGATCGATAAATGCGCCTAAACATGACGCTTTTTTACTTTTCTTAAAAAAGGTAATTTTGAAATGTATATACTTAATAGTGCAGTGTATTATAATTAATGTAATAAATCCAGTTCGTTACCATTCAAGTCTACATATATGTATATCCGCCATCTATCCATCCGTGTCGTCCTGATAAACTCTCAATCTTCTTGTCAATATTTCTTAAACACGCGTTCCATTTCTTTCCCGGTGCACAGATTTCATTTCCAATTCACTTTTCGGAGGTCAAGAAATCGATAGATTAAACATGTGTCTTTGATGTTATAGGTAGACTTCCAGGGCAGCGTCTACACATCACCGGCACTCGATCTTCTATTTTTTCTCAGTACAAGTGTTTCCTTTGATGTCATTGAAAATAAGAGAGATGTTTTATTAAACGAATACCTTGGCACCTTGTCGACGACTATGAAACAATTGAACTGCAAGACGCAGCCGCCCACAATGAAGGAATTGAAGGATATCATGAAGCGAAGAGCTGGCATTGAAATGGTATCATCTTTCGCGGCTTTACCGTTAATGCTGTGCCCTAAGACTGAAGCGAAAGATTTTGATGAGATCATGAACACTGGTACTTGGGTTAATCCAGGCTTAAAGAGCGAGAATTTTAAAAAAATTATGATAAAGAGAATCCCACTGTATGATGAGTGGGGTTTACTAGATCTCTGATGCATAAATGATTTCTAATTATTATCAGAAATAAAAATGAAAAAGAAATAGAAATCTAATAAAGAATTTAAAAAATAAAAGACATATATAATTATAACGAACACATTAAAATTAATAACAACATAAATGAAATATTAATCTTCTTTTTTAAAGAGGAAATATTAAGATCAACCAAAAAAATTAAATAAATAAATAAATTTACACAAAAATGATTGTGCAAAATATGAATAAAACATTTTAAAATAAAAAATTTGACATAGATTAAACTATTGAGTTTTGATTTGAAATGCATCCCCATTTCTTGTTAATCATATGAATTTTGCTTTAAAATTTTAAAACGAAAATCGCTATTTTTTGCATATTCTTGTAAATGACAATGAGATGTTTCCAAAACTGTAATAATGATTTCTTTTATTACATACCTTCCGAGACTTAACAGTCAAGATTTATCGATATTTTTATTTATTAATATTTTTTTAATTCATAAATGTTTAAAAAAACAAGTATATATATATAAATATATCTATTTCAATCAAGAAATGAGTGCATATACTTGTAATGCAAAATATTCAGAATTCTAATATTTTTAATAATTATCAGCCATTTTGAATTTTACGTTTATTTTTAAAAATCAGCAATTCTATGATAAAGAAAAATGTATAACTTGAATATTTTAACAAATCATCAAAATTGGTTAACAATTAAAACTGTTGGTTGATTTTTGTCCAAAGGAGTGCTTTTTCTCCCACTATACGCACCGCCGCACAATGTGTCCAAATCTAAGATTTTAGCCGGCCAAAATTGAAAAAATAAAGTAAATAATTTATACCAATTTTGTACTTTTTTTTTACTCTAAGTCATGAATTCATACAAAGACAAAAGTTTCTATAAAATGTAACACTATTTCAGAGAAACATGCATGGCTAAAATTAACTTTTAATCAAGAACTATTTTCTAAATGTAATTGTTCGAAGTTATTATAGATGATGTAAACAATATAACAAAAAATTAATATTTTTATTTAAAATTCTTTTTCTTACAAATTTTATCGGTAATTCGATTATTCGATGGTGCAACAGCATAATAACGAAATTATTACTATGACAGGTATAACTTGTCTATTTATCGAGACGTTCAAGTCGACTGTATTTCAACAACGAAAGACGCGCGTAATATGATATTGCTTGAATTTTTTCAAGAGTGATACGTACAAAATATGTTTACATTTATGTATACTTAATTGTCGTTCAGTTCGTCAAGTATACCAAAGTAAGAACTATCAAGCATATCTATGCCTTTAATTAAATTTAAACCGTATTTTTGTTCTTTTATATGCAGCATCTCAGATATGAGTTTTTTATATAGTAATTATGTTCTGTATCAAGAATTCTTACTTCATCCTAATTAAATGAATGTCCGAATTAAAATATATGCTCTGTAATGATCACAGAATGTTATGTTGCATCTAATTTTATATTATTTTTATGTTCTTTGAATTTGATGCTAACAATAAGCTATTTTTTTGTTTGATAAGATGCACATAAGATGCTTCACAATTATTACAAGAGATTTTATAAATTACTTTGTTACTTGCCCTAATCACATTGCTATCTTTGTGAGCCTTGACGAACGTATAGATCCTATTCAAACATCTGTATTCTACTATAAAAATCATTTTTGTCAATGAAAACTACTTTAACTAGCTCGTGTTTGGAAAACAAATAAAAAACTCATACAATATATTATTAAATGTAAATGTGTCTCCAGTTACCGATGTACAGTCGTGATAAAAGTCTCGACGAATAGGCAAGTCTCAAAGTCTATATCTTTGACTGTAATAATTTTATTATTCTGTCGCACCATCGATTTAGCCGATTTAATTTTTGAGTAATAAGGATTTTATACTACAACATTAACATCAGCTTACTAGTTATTATTTGTTACTACAGTAGATTCGAACAATTACAGACGGTAAACAGCTCTCGGTTAATAGCTGTTTTTCGATGTACTGGTCACTGCAAAAGATACACGATATTAAAAAAACAAAATCACTCAACGTAGAATAGTGAAAATACAACATGCTCCGTTTTATTGTATACGAACTAATGTTTGCGAAAGTATTATTTGCCACCTAAATTTATACAGCGTTCATTGTTTTAGGTCTTTTGATTTTTTAATTATTATTAATTGATAAAATTTAGTTTCTGTATGTTTCTTTTATTAATTTATTAAATTTTTTAATTGTTTCAACTGAAAAAGTCTTTGCAGTCTGAAACGTCTTGTGTGATTTATTTGACATAAAAAATTTTTTAATATTATTATACTATATTTAGAAATTTTATGTCACATATCATATATTATTTGTTTCTTGGTTTAATTATTATTTTTTATTCATTCTTATCAATGACGCATGTACAATTTCTCATATATTTTTTATGTACGGGCAATATAATAGGCAATATAGTTATACGCGTTTCTTTCGATATCGAAGCACAGTCGACTTGAAGGTTTCGACAAATAGACAAGTTATACCTGCCACTGTAATAAATTTGTTATTAAGCTGTCGCACCATCGCCGATAAATTTGTAAGTTATAATGGAATTTTAGTTTAGAATATTAATTTTTTTATTGTAGTACTTATCATTTATAGAAACTTATCATCTACAGAACTTTGAAAAATTACAACCAGAAAATAGTTTTTCATTAAAAACTGCTTTTCAAATACTTGAGAAAGATAGACGAAGTTACAAGAATAAGTTTACTTAACGAAAAAATTTTGATTCTGGGTCGCCAATATCAGTCAAACTTGTCAATTCTTTAAATTAAAAACACTTTACACAATGAAGTTATAAAGCGCGCCGAAATTATATATGCGATTTAATGATTGCACAGATATTAGACAGTAGATTCGAACAATTACAGACGGTAAATAGCCCTTGGGTAATAGCTGTTTTTCGATGTACTTGTTACTGTAAAAGATATACGATATTAAAAGAACAAAATCATTCAATGCTGAATTTAAATTTGCATTACCACAACGATCAAACGGGCTAATTCACTAAATCGAAAATGATTCACATAGTGAAGGTACAACATGAGCCAATTTTAAGTAGCGTTTATTGTTTTCAGTTTTCCAATGTTTTAATTATTTGAATCATCTTAATGTTTTTCAGTTTTCGTAACAGAATATTAGCTCCTCACCTGTCTTACAATTATATTAAGTGAAATAATAAATGCCATATCCAGTTACATGTCACATTTGCAGTTTATGATTGCATGCTATCATCTTATCATTGCAATTACTATCTCAATTAGCTTAGTTTCTGCTTTTTTAAAAGACAAATCGGAATAAGATCAGTGTTGATCAACAAATTTCTTGTAAATGCCATAATTCGATTTTTTTCGACGGGATTTCAAAACAAAACTTGCGTATGGCATTGGTCAGAAAGGGAAAAAAGATTTCCATTATTGATATAAATACCGATGGACATAAAGAAAAACGATAAATCGAAAAACACGGTAGAAAAAGAATGAGAGAAATGATTTAAAAAAATAGAAAAGTCGAAATGAGTGAGGGGTGCTAGCTGGAAATAGAAAAAAGCTTGCAGCAAGTAATAAATTGTCACAAAAATTGTTTTCGCGTTTTGGACTTTGACGGGAACAACCAATGATTTATAGAAGAAATTTTCCAATTTCAATTCTAATTTCAGAAATGGCTCTAAATACATCGTGGCTGAATCAATGGTTCGTGGAAGAGATCCTGCGAAAGTCGGAAAGCGACGATTCGATTCAAGTGATCGATGTATTTTGGAATCGGGGCTCGAATAAGGGTGACAACTATAGTTGCGATATTATCAGGATTACTACTGAATTTTCGCGTAAAGAAAGCGGCCGTAAGATTGTAGAAAAAAAATCAATCATCGTTAAAGTTTCGCCCATAATTGGAAGTGTTCGATACAACATTGTGAGTTGATTTAACTTATACAATGTTTCCAAAAAAAAAGGAATAAAAAAAGGAAAAGAAAGAAAAAAATTGAAAATGATGAAACTGTAGCAAGTTATTTTGATAGAATTTTTGACTTAACAAAAAAAGTATAAGATTTGAAAGTAATCAGAAATTAAACATAAAATTATTTTTATGAGTTAAATTCAAAGAAGCAAATATATTTTGAGAAAACATTGTTCAGTCGTTTTAAGACAAATTTTAATTTTGGATAAAATTATTTATTTGGTAAGCCAAAACTGGCTATCACAAATTTTCTATTTGTTGCATAAAACTTTATAATCAAATAATCTTGTTTCAGATCGCACAATCAGGTTGCTTTCATATTGAGATATCGATGATGTTAGATACCTTGTATAAAATGAATGAGTTATTAAGTCCAAAACACCGTTTAAGTGTAAAAGTTCTATACGTGCAAAGTGAAAATCCATCGCTTCTAGTGCTCGAGGATCTCGTGCCTCTCGGCTTTCGTATGGCCGATCGTGAGTCTGGTCTCGACTTAGCTCATTCCATGCTGGCGATTCGCGGAATTGCCAGGTTTCATGCAGCCTCTGTAGCTGTATGCGAAAAGGTAAATTATCACATCTCATTTGAATTGCAATTATTAAAAATTCCGGTTAATGACACTAATCCAAAAACCAAATATTCACGATAATAAGATGTGTGAAATATATCTCACTTTGATTGCGTAAACGTTGCATTGCTATATATTATATATATCAAATTGTTTTGTACTATGATTCAAACGATATCTATTTTAAAAAAATGATATTTTGTAACAATTTGAGGCAAGCTTGTCAATGTAAATACAATCAAATTATAGAATAAGCCAAACTAACGAGCACTAATAAGGTGACAATTAAATATAAAACATAAAATTTATTTTAATCAATTAAACGCGATACATGTTTCGGTTTTACTTAGCCTTCTTCAGCCGCAAAAAATTAAATAAATAGCGAACGGAAACACATGAGTCACATGATCGGTGTGTAACAGTAATTAATGTAGAGAAGTAAGAGTCAAATTTAAAATGTATATAAAGTAATGGATATTAAGAAATAGCTATTTTAAGTTGGTGTAATTATAGTGGTCGTCAAAATTTCAATTTTATTCTGGAGTAGTCTCTTTGTCCACATTATAAAACGTCTCAACAGAGTGGGAATTCCGTTGGAAGCATTGTAAAAATTTGTCAAGTAACCAAGTTATTATCGTCAACTATGGGTTCAAATGGCCGTAATTAAAATCAAAAATAAATAGTGTATATAAAGAAATGTTAAAAACTTACTAAGTCAGATGTAAAAAAATCAGCGAAGTTTCTTATATGGACAAAGGAGAATAAATTCGCACTGTTCCCTGTCATGTACAATATACGAATAGGTACTGATAAGAGACTGCGCGGTGTCAGCGGTTACCAATAATAGTTTATAAATACTATAGGAACATACAAGACTAATAGGACTACGTTACTTGACGTGTTTTGTCATTTTTGATAATAAATTGATGTATGATGAATCCAACAATTCAGCACATCACTTGAGGAATTAAGGCCATTAATTTGTGATTTTATATGAATCATTTCAAGTGATTTATATAAAATCACAAATTAATGGCCTTAATTCCGCAAGTGATACTGAATTGCTAGATCCATCATACTTCAATTTTTATAATGTGGACAAAGAGACTACTCCAAAATAAAATTGAAATTTTGACAATCATTATGATTATACCGAATCTAAATTGCTATTTCTTAACGTC